ACGAACATCCATGGTGTTCTTAGAACGATTCTAGTTTAGAGTTGACCTATTTGATATTTTGGGTCTGAGTTTTATTGTCTTTTACGATTGTTCATGTCTTATTTCTCCTTATTCCTCATTGAGTTTGGCTATTGGAGTGTCTTAGTTGCGTTTAGAATAGGTTGAGAGTTAGTTTTTCAAAATGGTTCCTGCCTAGGTTTTGGTTTCTTCGCTTGAGTGGCACTTCTTGTGCTCAAGCAGTATTAGAGAACTCTTCGTACTTTTCCAGGCTTGCAGAGATACTGAGAGTTGGCATTCTGAGCTCGAGCGGTCATTCTTGCACTCGAGCGGTGTTGGCTCAAGTGGCCCTTCTTGAGCTCGAGCGATGGTCCTCTATCTATAAAAATTTTGGGAGTTTGTATTCTTCGCTCGAGCGGTAAACTTCTTCACTTGAGCGGTCTCACTTATCGTGTCTGGTCGCTCGAGCAACACTTATTGCGATCGAGCGGTCTATGCGTATATCAGTCGGTAAAGTCATATTTTCCACTCACTTTTTCATATCTCTCTCTCTAAACTTTCTAAAAACCCTAAATCTAATGCCTCTCTCTCAAAAACTCATCTTCTCTATACAAGTATGCCTAGAGCCTCTTTTGATCGGAGCAAAGTTGGTTTCGGCTTCGCTGAATTGCAATCCTTGTTCTTCCTTGTCTTCTAGCTTGAGGTAGGGATTCTCTGCACTTTCCTATAATTTTTAACTTAGTTATTTGCTATTTCTAAAACAATATTGTGATTTGAGGATTTTTTTAACAAACTTAGGGTTTTGGGTTTAAAAATCAGAAGAGGGATTTTCAAATGGATTCTTGAAAATGGTTGTGGGATTGGAAATGGGGTTGAGTTATGATAAAATGGTTGGCTTTGATACTTGGAATGGATTTTGGAAGAAAATTGGGGGGGGGGGGGGGTTTGCCCTAAATATCTCAAATGTTGATTTTGTTTGAATAATTGGAATAGATGTTGGAAATGTGAAATTGGATTGATATTAATGAGGATGGTGGAGTTGGGTATGTATTACCACTCACATCTTGGAATTTGGAAAGTTTATCCTTATAAAAATTATTTATATTTTTAGAGATATATGTTTTGGGCTATCAGTGGAGGATAGCTATAATTGTTGTAGAAACTTCATGAGAATTAGGAGAATTGAAACTATTTTCTCATCCATTCCATTGAGCATTGTTGTATATTTAATACATTTGAAAATGTTGTTGTTTTGAGAAAAAATAGTGAATAACTTAGTGAATTTGGGTAGGAGTGTAGTTGTGGTATGAAGTTGGCCTGTGTGTCTGTGGTGAATGACTAGAAACTCGCGTGGTTTGGTGTCGAGTTTTCCGGTTAATACCGGCAAAAATGACAAATTAGTAGTGCTTGTATCCTACTTACAAACACGTCCTAGAGAATCACAGTGTTGTATTCATTACCCTGTTTTCTATTATAAATGAAATGATATCATGAATTGCAATATAAACTTGGCATTGCATGGTTTTAGAAAGAAAAACGAAACCATTTTGGCACAATCATTGTATATGCATTAACCTTATATCTTTTTTAAGATACATAAACTATGTTCTAGTATCTTTACTAGGCTTTGGCTCACCCTATGTAGGAAACCATTTTCAGGTGCTAATGATATCTGTAGACCGCCCGAACTCGCTCCGCGCGCCCCCTGTTTGGAGAGGGCGCGAATTGTGTTCTAGCTACTACAGTTCGGACTCCTGTCACGGGTCTGAATCTAATCTCACAAAGTGCAATGTAAGACTGATAAATCACAAAAGAGCCCAAATTCGGCAAATCATTTTGGAAAATCGATTTTAATCAAAAGCGCAAAACATGGACTGCTTTGCCAGATTTCAGATTCACCACCTAAATATTTTGTTTTGGGAAATTTAGGAAACCCTGACTCGTGCCTAAGGCCACGTGTCCGTCATCACCAAAGTTGTCTCGGCTTGGAAACTTGGGTACGAGAGGGAAAGGTCCTGAAATGAGCACCCCCGCTAGCCCGATCAAAGATCGGCCTCTACTAACATGATATGTTGTTTTTGAAAACACATGTGTTCTTATTCTAGTTTATTAATCCTAACTTACTATGTGATGCGCACAACACACAAGTATAGACTAAATCACTCAATTTGGAATAAAACATCTCATATTTGTTTTTCGAAAATGGTTTGAAGTTGCTACCCTCAAGTAGGCTAAAATGCGGATTTGCCACCCTAAAGTGGACTTAAAACATGATTTGCCCCAAACAAGTGGGCTTAAAATGCACATTTTGATGAATTGTTCCAATTCAAGCAATGAAGCCTTCATCCACAGGCATTCATGCAGTTAATCACTTAAGCAAATAGCCTCATGGCAAGCATGCTATCATGGTAGTCACTTACACACATGCAAGGATGCTAAAGCATAAACACTTACAGTGTACTCCGAGCCAAAACAACAACTAGTTAGAAATCAATGCACGATCCTAACTATGTTAAGTGCCTAATGCAACACATGTAAAATGAACCTAAATGGGCTCGGCTATCTAAGATGGCATATGAATGCGACATTCGATACATGTATTCAAAGAAGTGTATTGAAATACAATGCGGTTTACATAATGCACCGAGCCCGGTGCATGCAAGACAAATGAATGATGAAAACATGCAAAGGATAAGGTATGCCAATTGAAATATGCCCTAAACTAACCATCAAAAGCAGATAAGTAAAAGGGAGAATGACGTGGGGTTAGAAGACATTCACACACGCACGCAACCTTATTACAACAATATGCCCTCGCAAAGGAGGGTCCAAATGAATTGAATGCTAACTAGCTATGCTAATTAAGCTAACTATTGCAAATCATAACTAATTAACTATCTAGTTAACTAATTACAAAGACAAATGAATAGCTAAACACATTAACTATTTAAGTACAGAACCAACGAATTAACCATCTAAGCAAGATAGTTACAAGGGCCTCAAGGACGAGGGATGCATGCATGCTCGGTTGTTTTCTCTTGAAAATCCGTCGCCTTGCCACCGGTTGCCTCTGTTTGCATTTGCCTTGATTCCTGAACACTGAACCAATTTCCAAACTGCTTCTGCTCCAGAACCAGAACCATTTTGAACCACCTTCAAGCTGCTGGGGTGTCGGCCACTAGGGGAGGCTGTAGGCCACTTCCTCTGGCTGGTCGGCCAGTTGCTTCGCATACTCCAGTTTTGCCGCAAAGAGAGTATGAAAGGGGCAAGGCAAGGCATTTGCAGGGTATGTGTGTACAACCACCCTCCTTATCATTTCTCAAGCTCAAAGGAGTGCGGTACTCAACTCTCAGGCCACCAACCGAGCATCGCAATGCACGATGGCTGAGAAGCCAAGTTTAGTACAAGTTAACAAATGCACAAATAACACACAAGACTCGAGAGGCCTCCACCCTATCATGCACAATCAAGGGGGACGGCGACCGAGAAATGAGGCATGTTTCATCACTTCAAGTATGAAACGTCTCTCATTTCTTGTGTTTCGATAAACGTCCGATCCAAACTCAATGCAAGGCAAACAACGTATGCTCATCTTTCAATGCTAAAGTGGCATGCACAAGGCTTTATGATGCAAGCAATGCGTGCATGGCATGTTTAAAGGCTAAGGCATCAAAACTAGTGAAGTGTATTACACATGAGGCATGCATTATAAATCCCAAATGGTCAAACCGACTATGGACAGACCTACATCATGCCAAAATAGTGGCACAATCATGCTGAAAATGAAGCACCAAAAGCTACAACAACATGCTCATGCATTGGCTCGCAAGCTAGGCATTAAACACAACTCTCAAACACAATGAAGAAGGGATAAACAAGAGAGTATGGCAGAGATGTAGGCACTGAAATTGCATACCAAATGATGCTATAACATGCAAACAACACAGGCATAGCATGTTAGGGTCCTTAAGCATTGAAGCTGATGAAGGACACAATACAAGGGCTATGCAATGCAATGCTCAAAGGACCAAACCAGCCCTAAACAGATCTCATGCATGGAAAAACAGTGGCCAAAATGCTCCGAAATGATGGCATAAAAGGCAAGAAAAAGATGTCCATACATTGGCTCATCGACAAGGCATGAGACACAACTCTTAAACACAATTGAAGAGTGCTATACATGAGAGTAAGGCAAGGCTATATGCCCTGAAATAACATGTTAAATGAAGCCATATCACATAAACATTGCAAATAAGGCATGCTAGAGGGCTCAAAACATAAGGCTAGCAAAGGGCTCTGCAAAAGAGGCATGCAATAGATAGCAGAAATGATCAAACCAACTATGGACAGACCTCATCCATGCTAAAACAAAGGCCAAAACATGCTGAAATGGTAGCCCACAAACTTAGACAAGCATGCATACATATTAGCTTATGAACAAGGCATAAGTCACGTCTCTCAAAAGCTTTGAAAGAATAGAACATGTGAGAGTGTGACTACACTATACACACAAAAATCAAGTAAGAAATGAGGCTAAGGCATGCAATCATCACATTCAAAGCATGCTAGAGATCTCAAACACAAAGCTACTGAAGCCCAACTACACTATAGCTATACAAAGCTAAGCATATATGACCAAGACCACTTAAAATAGACCTCAATGATGTTAAATTAGTGGCACAAATGTGCTGGAGCAAAGCTAACACATGCTAGAATGATGAACTATAAGCATGAAGCATGTTAGGCCAACAAGCATGATTGCACTACAAGTACCAAAAGCATGCAAGAGGTGACCGAACCATGCCAAAACAGAGTTATGGCAGGTCTAAAAAGTCACAACAACATGCTCAAACTAAGCCGCAAAAGGGTAGAAACACATGCTCACTACCCACTCTTTCTAGAATTTGGAAAGGGCCAACATATCGGGGTGTTAATTTACCCTTTTTCCCAAATCTCGGATGTCCCTTTAACGGGGTGACTTTCACGAACACATAACTACCCACTTCAAATTCCAAATCCCTTCGTCTGTTATCTGCATAGCTCTTCTGCCTGCTTTGTGCCGTCTTCAACCTCTCCCGGATAATTTTAACCTTTTTAGTTGTTGATTGCACAATTTCAGGTCCCAACAATGCCCTATCCCCAACTTCAGCCCAACATACAGGGGAACGACACAGTCTTCCGTATAGAGCTTCATAAGGTGCCATCTCAATGTTCGAATGGTAATTGTTATTGTAGGCGAACTCTGTCAACGATAGATGGGTTTCCCAGCTTCCTTGAAAATCCAATACACACAATCGGAGCATATCTTCTAAAGTTTATATGGTTCTCTCGGATTGACCATCAGTTTGAGGGTGAAAAGCGGTGCTGAACGTAAGTTCGGTACCCATAGCCTCCTGTAAACTTTGCCAAAATCTTGAAACAAATTTGGGGTCCCTATTTGACACAATTGACACTGGAACACCATGAAGCCTTACAATTTCATTTATATACAGTACTGCCAGCTTATCCGCATTATATTGAGTCTTCACAGGCAAGAAGTGAGCAGACTTGGTTAATCGGTCCACAATGACCCAATTTGAATTCATACCTCGAGGAGTCCTCGGTAACCCCACAACGAAATCCATGGTCAAATGCTCCCATTTCCATTCCGGGATTGGAAGGGGTTGTAATAATTCTGCTGGTCTTTGATGTTCCGCTTTTACTTGTTGACATTGTAGACACTTAGAAACAAATTCCGCAATCTCCTTTTTCATATTTGGCCACCAAAAATTTTGTTTTAAGTCTCGGTACATTTTAGTACTTCCCGGGTGTATTGATAATCTTGAGGCATGTGTTTCTCCTAGAAATTTTCGTTTAAGCTCCAACACATTGGGGACACATATTCGACCTTGAAACTTTAATACCAAATCTACATAACTGAATCCCGATTTTGGTTTTGCCTCTAACTCTTCATAGATTTTCCTTAAAGTCTCATCTTCCAGTTGATGTAACTTAATCTCTTCCAGCAAGGTGGGTTGAGCTCTTACTGCTGCTAGTATGGCCTCCTGTTCACGTACCACTAGGTCCATATTCATTTTATCCAGTTCAATCCTCAACTCCTTTCTTTCTACCAACAGATTTGCCAAGTCCCCCATATTCTTCCGACTAAGTGCATCTGCCACCATGTTAGCTTTACTAGGATGATATTGGATCTGCAAGTCATAATCCTTAATCAACTCGAGCCATCGCCGTTGTCGCATGTTCAACTCTTTCTGGGTAAACAAGTACTTGAGGCTTTTATGATCAGTGTAAACTTCGCAGGTTGTACCATAAAGATAGTGCCGCCATATTTTCAAAGCAAAAACTACTGCCGCTAATTCGAGATCGTGTGTGGGATAATTCTTCTCGTGGGGTTTCAGTTGTCGAGAAGCATAGGCAATAACCCTTCCATTCTGCATTAGCACACAACCAAGCCCCTTGTGCGAAGCATCACTGTAAATTACGAATCCTTCGGTACTAGATGGAAAAGCCAGAACTGGTGCTGTCGTCAATCTTGTTTTTAATTCTTGGAAGGCGGATTCCCGTTCCTCTGACCATTCGAATGCAACTCCTTTTCGTGTCAGTTGGGTAAGTGGCACAGCGATTTTGGAGAAATTTTGAACAAACCTCCTGTAATATCCAGCTAACCCCATAAAACTTCGTATCTCAGTTACATTAGTGGGAGTTGGCCAATTCACAATTGCTTCAACTTTGTGTGGGTCAACAGAGACTCCTTCCTTTATCACCACATGCCCCAAAAATGCCACTTCTTGTAGCCAGAATTCACATTTCTTCAACTTGGCATACAGTTTCTTCTCCCGGAGTGTTTGAAGAATTAGGCGAAGATGATCCTCATGAGCTTCTGCACTCTTCGAGTATATAAGAATGTCATCAATAAAAACCACCACAAATTCGTCTAGATAGGGCTTGAAGACGCGATTCATTAGATCCATAAATGCTGCTGGTGCGTTTGTAACCCCGAAGGGCATAACCAAAAATTCATAATGACCGTACCGGGTTCGAAAAGCTGTCTTCTCCACATCATCGGCTTTAACTTTCAATTGATGGTAGCCAGACCGTAAATCAATTTTTGAGAAAACTTGTGGCCCTTGTAACTGATCAAATAGGTCATCTATCCGTGGCAAGGGGTACTTATTTTTAATTGTCACCTTATTCAATTCCCTATAGTCGATACATAACCGAAGTGTTCCGTCCTTCTTTTTCACAAACAATACTGGCGCACCCCAAGGAGATACACTCGGGCGGATAAATCCCTTGTCAAGCAGATCCTGTAATTGAATCTTTAACTCTTTCATTTCAGCTGGTGACATCCTATAGGGTGTCTTCGAAATGGGTTGGGTTCCAGGCGCTACTTTAATTATAAACTCAATTTCTCGGTCTATTAGTTGGCCCGGCAATTCTTTGGGAAAAACATCCGGAAATTCACGGACCACTGGGATCACATCAATATTCCCATTCATCCCTTGCCCTTCCAAAACACTACATAGATACCCCTGACAGCCTTTTCGTACTAAGTTGCAAGCCTTCACGGCAGATATCAGATAAGGTGGCGAAATCACTTCCTACCCTTGAACCACAGACTCTGATTGCCCCGGAGGATAAAAATTAATTTGCTTAGTCACACAGTTTATAGTTGCACCATAAGCACTTAGCCAATCCATCCCCAGAATAACATCAAAATAGGTCATATCGAGAGGCACTAAATTAGCATACACCCGAATATCCCCAAGTTGAAGTTCACAAGCTAGGTATATAGTAGCACAAATCATAGACTCTCCCAAGGGGGAGGACACACACAACATGTAAGATAAGTTTTCTTCAATTTTATCTAAATTAGGAGCAAAGAGTTTCGACACAAAAGAGTGAGTGGAGCCAGAATCAAACAATACATGCGCAGGTTGACCATAAATAGTAAATGTACCTGACACCACTGTCGCTGTATTTTGTACATCACCTGGAATCAAAGCGAACACCCTACCTTGTCTTGCAGTGTCTTTGTTATTACTCGGTTTGGCAGCCGCCTTCGCATTGGGGGTTAGTGTAGACCCCGCGGAACTTGTAGCAGATTTATTGCCCTTTTGTTGAGCCCATTGTGGGCAATCCCTTACCAAATGTCCCGTTTTTCCACATTTAAAACATGCTCCAGTCTTCCAGTGAGAAGTTCCTCGATGTTGCCTTCCACAGTCTAGACACACCGGAGTGGAATTTTGAGTAGTGGTAGTGGTGCTGAAGTTCCCTGAATTGTGCTTCTTAGCGGGTGGAGTAACGGATCTCTTTGTTGACCATTGGTTGTTTTGTCTCTTCCCTTTCCACTCGGAAATCCGAGTCTGGGCCGCAAGGTTTCCTTCTGCGATAACAGCCCTTTCTAACACCTCAACATATGTGGGTAATTTTAGCATATTGACTCGGTCTAAAATAGCACCCCGCAATCCCCCTTCGAATTTTCGTGCCTTCTTATAGTCTGTATCTACCATATGAGGTGCAAACCGAGCTAATTCGGCAAATTGGGCGTCATATTCTGCAACAGTCTTATTTCCTTGTCTAAGAGTCTCAAATTCCGTCACCTTCTTATCTCGCATGCTTTGAGGAAAATACTTATCATAGAATAGCTCCAGAAATCTACCCCATGTTAAGTCCCGATGCACTGTTCTTGTAAGCATCCACCATCTTCGCGCCTCATCTTCAAGAGTAAAGGGGGCAAGTTGCACTTTCTGGGCTTCAGTACATGGAAATACTTCGAACAATTTCTCTATTCCCAGCACCCATGATTCAGCTTTCATAGGTTCTATTCCCCCCTTAAATGACAGTGGTTTCATCTTTTTAAACTCCTTTGTGAGAGTGATGGTTCGGTCCTCAACATGAACATCTTGTACTACAGGTGGAAGTACTGGTGGTGGTGGCGGTTGTTGCTGTTGTTGCCTTAGGGTCTCCGCCATGTCCAGAATCATTCTTTCCATTCGGTCCAGCCGTGCCGAGGTAGCCTCGTCCGAATCTTCCACCCTTGTTCTCACCATAACCTACATAACATTCAATTATATCCGGCAAACAAAATTCAAATTGTTAGCGTTAGCAGAGTACATTCTACGTTGCCATCGATGTTTCATACATTTTCAGGATGCCATGCATGATGCTTAAGTCTTTTCTAGACATCCTAAGGCTCAATGGATCTGTGTGTGGGATAGCAACTCGTGCTCTGATACCACTTGTCACGCCGCTAACTTGCCCCTAAAAATTTGGGCATGACCTAAGTGAAAAAGGACACTTAACCTGGTTCCATAGAGGGGCCCGACCGAAAGCTGTAATAATAAGTGATATAAACCAGAAAATATGACATCCATTGAGCTACTACGTCATGCCAGGATCATAAACATTTCATAGGTTAAGTACACCAAAAGCCAAAATACATTTGAGAGTTAGTTATTTACAGGCCTATACAAATCCAACCCCGAGGTGGGGTATATAACAAAATCATTAAGTACATAATAACTTAAGCCAATAGCAAAAGTGTAAGCCATTAACTAGCAACTCCACAAAAGTAGGGTCCCGACCCCAAGCTTGGCTGTGCCTAGGCTGACAAAAATATGACAATGCTGAGCTAAGATCGACCTCCTGGTTGATCACCTACAGAAACAGGCATAACACAGGGTGAGCCAAGCTCAGTGAACAATAGTACTGGTATGCTTGTAAACATAATTAATGCTGAAATCATGTAATCAGTCTGTCTCTGTAAAGCTTGTTGGGACAACATAATCGGTTTATAGTTGTCATAATGTGGCCCCTAGCCTAAGAACTTCACACATTCGGAAAGGGTCCTTGGGTTCATAATTTACAATCCATCACATAAACCTTCGGTTCTTTTTGATTCACAAGCTTACAATAGTGTCATTCATATTTCACACATCGGCCCTTGGCCTCATAATTTCATTGTTCACAAATGGCCCTTGGCCACATTGATTCACAATTCACAATTGACCCTTGGTCACGTAGTTTCACATTAGGGCTCGTAGCCACATTGACTCACAAATGGCTCTAAGCCACATTGATTCACAATGGCTCCAAGCCACATTGATTCACAAATGGCTCTAAGCCACATTGGTTCACGAGTTCACAATTGCCTTGATACATTTCATTAGTCACAAGCTTTCACATAAGATGTGTGCAACTTCACAACCTTTTTTTAATGTTTCCACAATTTCGTATTGAATCACTTAAAGCAAATATATCATTTCATGCCAACACAAGTTTGATAGTGAAGTTCGTAATGTCAAGATATAACGTCAATACATAATATAACAATACTTTCAACAAGGGTCACAATGTCAATAAAAATAAATACCGAGTAGAGGTACATCGAAGTACTATTACTCACTGTGTTGTGTCGGTGCACTTCCTTTTGAGGCGTTTCCTACACACATGAAAAATCACATTAGTCCCTTTTTCCCTTGTTAAATCAACATTCGGTTCACTTACTGTGATTGAATTAACGAACATTCAAACAATATAAATTGCAGGTTTTGACAACATTAGAGGACCCAACACGCAAAACGGAGCATCCCAACTTTTCTGGCTTGAGCCGCCCGTGCGGCTAGGATCTCCCGCACGTGCGGCACACCTCCCGCACGTGCGGCATTGAGGCCCCGCACGTGCTTTTTTTGCAGTGTTGAAGTCCAAAATTTGCCATTTTCCCGCACGTGCGGCAGTGACTCCCGCACGTGCGACTGAGGTTCCCGCACGTGCGGCCTTAGGCCCCGCACGTGCGGCAATTCTGCACCAAAATTCCGAAAATTCTGCACATTTCCTTCCTCTTGTAGACATGTTTAGGGCCTCAAAATCTAGTTTCAAATTACTAATACATAAGCTCAAAGCATGTGAATACATGTGAACAAGGATCAAATTACATCTTTCATTTGAGTAAAAAATCAAATCATAAATCCACAACTTAAATTTACTCCAATTCACAAGATTCCTACTTGTTCTCACGTCTCAACTCATAAACATAAAATTATATCACATACTTGAATTCAAACAAGTCAATTGAAGACATAGAGTGAGGCCTCTCATAGGTACTTCAAATTGAGTCAAAACATGCAAAGTAAGATCATTTTGCTAATTTACTTCTCATACTCACAACACCACAATTCCAACTCTTACGAACAAGATTATAGAAACATCTTCACATAAATTATGACAAGAAGGGTTGTGGATGAAAATTAGACAAACATTTACATACTTTAAGCCCAAATCTCAACCTTCTTGAGGACCTTCTTTCTCTATCCCTTCAATTCTTAAGTTTAGAGTTATACATTCCTTGGCTTCTCAAATGACTAAGAACACTCATATATATATATATAAAGAGAGATTGAGACGAAAATCAATCGTTTACGCATCCGAAAATTGACATTTCACAGAAGTGCTTAATATTACCTAAAAATTATGCTGGTTCCAAATATATGATCAATTTTGACTTATTAAGCCGCTAAGGCCCTCAATTTCTACTTTATCGTTCTAGTAGTAACAGATACATTTCTTTCCTAACAGATACAATTCATTCCATAAGGCATCACAACATAGTTACTTGAACTTATTTTCTTGTACAATTTCATTTTAGGCATTTAACAGCACAAAATAAAGGACTAACATATATCACAAGCACACATGAGGGTCAGGTTGTTACATTTACTGCAGGCCAAGTGAGATGACAACACTCTTCTCGGCTATCGATAAATAACCAAGCTACCTTTACACCGTTCGGCCTCTGGCCGAATTGTGCAGACCTTATCTGCCCAATGGTGCACTACCTAGCTATAGATAGATCGGCCTTCTCTTCCTAGAAAGTCAATCTAGTGCCTCAGCCTGTCTATGGATTATCTGTGGATAGCTAGCTCCAAGCCTTACCAACCTATTGTTGATCGGCCCATTTCAGGTTCAACACAAGACTATGCTATCTATGCTCTTACCTCGGCCCATTGCCTGACCCAATCTCCAAAGAGGATCACACCTAGCTCGACCCAATTTATCTACCCAAATTACCCTCTCAATTGCCTCTTAATTCCATCTATAGAGCATGATTGAGATTACATTCCTTCAGCCGAGCTAAGAATGCTCGTATCAGCTGAGCTAGGAAAGTTGCTCGATCCCATAATTTGCTTGGTTCCAAGAAGTCTCGTCAATTGCCTAGCACGTCCATCCATCAGTCTGTTACATTGAACACTTCTGACATGTCTGGCACGTTTGGGACATGTGACACGTTCCCATTGTACCCGTATCCCTGCTATAGCCGTCAAGCATTAGCAAAAAATTTGAACCGTCTGCGCCTCTTTCCATTTTCCATATATGCTGCCTATACGCATAGTCCTTCACTTTCACCGTTCACCTTCTTTGTCTTCAAACCCTAAACCCAGAGCTCTAACTTTTCTCACACCTCCATTTCTGTCTCGTGTCGAAGCATAATCCAGCACCTGTGGTCACGCAGGTGTACGAAGAGGCATTTTTTCTGTCCAGGGCTTGGATCAACCTTCAAAATCTATAAGTTCTCTATATCTCCACTGTGACTTCCACGAGCATCCATGGTGTTCTTAGAACGATTCTAGTTTAGAGCTGACCTATTTGATATTTTGGGTTTGAGTTTTATTGTCTTATACGATTGTTCATGTCTTATTTCTCCTTATTCCTCATTGAGTTTGGCTATTGGAGTGTCTTAGTTGCGTTTGGAATAGGTCGAGAGTTAGTTTTTCAAAATGGTTCCTGCCTAGGTTTTGGTTTCTTCGCTTGAGTGACACTTCTTGTGCTCAAGCAGTATTAGAGAACTCTCCGTACTTTTCTAGGCTTGCAGAGATACTGAGAGTTGGCATTCTGAGCTCGAGTGGTCGTTCTTGCACTCGAGCGGTGTTGGCTCGAGTGGCCCTTCGTGAGCTTGAGCGATGGTCCTCTATCTGTAAAAATTTTGGGAGTTTGTATTCTTCGCTCGAGCGGTAAACTTCTTCACTTGAGCAGTCTCACTTATCGTGTCTGGTCGCTTGAGCAATACTTATTGCGATCGAGCGGTCTATGCATATATCAGTCGGTAAAGTCATATTTTCCGCTCACTTTTTCATATCTCTCTCTCTCTAAACTTTCTAAAAACCCTAAATCTAGTGCCTCTCTCTCAAAAACACATCTTCTCTATACAAGTGCGCCTAGAGCCTCTTTTGATCGGAGCAAAGTTGGTTTTCGGCTTCGCTGAATTGCAATGCTTGTTCTTCCTTGTCTTCTAGCTTGAGGTAGGGATTCTCTACACTTTCCTATAATTTTTAACTTAGTTATTTTCTATTTCTAAAACAATATTGTGATTTAAGGATTTTTTAACAAACTTAGGGTTTTGGGTTTAAAAATCAGAAGAGGGATTTTCAAATGGATTCTTGAAAATGGTTGTGAGATTGGAAATGGGGCTGAGTTATGATAAAATGGTTGGCTTTGATACTTGGAATGGATTTTGGAAGAAAATTGGGGGGGGGGGGGGTTTGCCCTAAATATCTCAATGTTGATTTGTTTGAATAATTGGAATAGAGGGAAATGTGAAATTGGATTGATATTAATGAGGATTGAGTTTGGGTATGTATTACCACTACATCTTGGAATTGGAAAGTTTATCCTTTAAAAATTATTTATCTTTTTGGAGATATATGTTTTGGCTATCAGTGGAGGATAGCTATAATTGTTGTATGAAATTTCATGAGAATTAGGAGAATTGAAACTATTTTCTCATCCATTCCATTGAGCATTGTTGTATATTTATATACATTTGAAAATGTTGTTGTTTTGAGAAAAAATAGTGAATAACTTAGTGAATTTGGGTAGGAGTGTAGTTGTGTATGAAGTTGGCCTGTGTGTCTGTGGTGAATGACTAGAAACTCGCGTGGTTTGGTGCGAGTTTCGGTTTAATACCGGCAAAAAATGA